TATTTACGGTACACTAATCAGAGTATATTAGTTCACTTTTACATTGTTTTGTTTGACCTTTTGCATGGTTTCTATAGGCATGAAAACACCTGGTAAAGTCTTTGAAAATGGTTATTTACATGTTGGACTGGAGAGTTTTTGCAATCATGTTTTACTGATTAGTTGCTTTAATTCTATACGATGTGATTGCTAGCTATCAGTATGGCTAGAAGTCATGAGGAGGTCATGGGAGAGTCATGGGAGAGGGTGGACAAGTGTTTGGAAATCTGGAATCAAATACAGAGAAAAGGCATGGTAAAGAAGTCAAGGACAATTCATGCAGAAGTCATGGAAAGTCTGTGGAAAAAGCCATAGAAAAGCCATCAAGATATGAACCTTGTATTTATTATTATATTTCTGGTAGACTAATTAGAGTATATTTGTTAAAAAAAAGTTATTTGTTTAATAGAGAGATTCTGACCCGGTGAGTCTGATTTTTGGGGTTTTCGTGGTCATAATAAACTTGGAAACTCATTGAATTTAACTTTTTGCTATTTCTAGGCGCGTAAAGTAACTTGACAACAATCACATGTTTAGTTTTTGTTATTATTATTTATAAAGTCACGGAAAAGTCACGGAAATTTGGCTTAAAATACTGAAAAAAATCATTGAAAAGTAAATCAATCAACTAATTCTCCACTCTGTGAATCAGTTTTGATCTATTCTTCAGGACGTCAGGGCGTGTTTGTTTTCTCCGGCTGCAGTCTGAGTTTCTGAGTGAAGCTTCACATTAGAACATGTATTGATTAGGTGTCCTTGTACGTAGATCTTTGACAGTGAGAGTGTGTGAGCAGGATTACAGATTAGAGGCAGAGACCATCTGTCAGTCTAACCCATGGATGTATAATAAGAACTGGAGGCCTCGTTCATTCCTATGAGAGCTGCTCATTGGCGCATGAAGATGAAAATGGCCCAACTTTTGAGAGAGCGAAACGTCACGAAAGTATTCATATAATCATATAATCCGTTCTTATTGTGCATCCATGGGTAAAGGTAAAACTCATGTAGTACTGAACACGTCACATGAACGTGCCGGGTGGCGCGGTCCCGTGGGTTAGATCCTCGTTCATAATGCAGAGGAAAATAACTCTCAGAATAACGTTATTAGCACATTTTACAACTTGAGGACCAAATGTTTTTAATAAGGGCTATACAAGTGTTCATACTGGGTAGTTTATTTAGTTTAAAAAAAATTATCCAATGATTTACAGACGTCTCTTTCCCAATGTTAGTCAATGGGGAAAAAGTCTTTCCGGGCCCAGCGACTGATACAGAAGTGTAGTACCGCCGTTTGGCCACAACGAATATTTTCCTCAGAGTCCAGCGCACTTCCTGGGAGCTTGGGTTGCGGTCGAATACTCCAAAAAAACAGCTCCTAAATTCTAACCCTATCGTCTATTCCTTGACCTCTGAGTGAAAGGTCACGGGGTTAAGGGAGAGTGGATAGGAGAATTCAAAAGGATTTAGGAGAAGAGACTGCGGTACTTTAGAGAATCGACTGCACTTTCACTATCCGACGTGTTTATGATGCGCCAGCGGAGGTCATAAATGTGCGCCTGCTGCTGTGGGGAAACTATGGAAACTACAGTTTTCTATACAGCGGACTACAACATGGATGTTTAATAAGAACGAGGGACTACTGTAAACTCATCTAGAGACTCTGCACTGTGCTCTGATGCTGTTGTTTTATGCTTTATGAACGGGGACAACAGAGAAACATATTCTTCATGACCAAAGTTGGAATTGAAATAAAAAAGGAAAGTGAAACTTATGCTCGTCACCCTCTCCCTCCGGTCCACATTAATACAAATGATCCCAATACGTATGATTGTATGAAAAGATCTTAAAATCAATACAAATGTATTTATTATAAACGTTAGTCCTTAACATCTATCACTGTGTATATCACCATTCAAACATCTTTTAAAAGTTGAACAAACCCCACACAGCTCAGTAAAGACTGTGAAATGTTGACTTTATTTGATCATTTCAGTAAAAACTAACGTTCATATTTCTCTTTTTGATTATAATACTGATGAACGTTCAAAACAAAGCACTTTGGCAACTTACCACATACGTTTTAAAATGCTTAATAAGCACCGTAACTTTCATGATATCATTTCTCGTTTCATTTCTCGACTGTTGTGTGACGGCAAATGCAGCGGCCGCAAGGCATTGTGGGGCAGAATTTTCTCCTCTCCTTTCGGTTAGGGAGATCCAGTGGTTCCTAAGCTAAAGGAGGTTATAAAGGAAGTTTGAAACCTCCTGTCCTTTTAATTTAGAGAATTGGAACGGCACTTATCATGGCTGCCACTGAGGGACTTCCGGGTCATTTCACTCCGTTAGGAAGGTTCCTAAGCTAAATGGACTATTCGACCGCAACCCTGGTCTAACCTGCACGAACTCTGGAGGAGGGACGGTGGCCTGTGTGGGGCAAACCAACACTCGGGTGTAAAACGTCCAAAAAATCATTTAAATACATACCAGGAAAATATATAAAACAATTTTAGAGAAACGTACATAAAAAATACCAGAAAATGATGTTGAGAAAATGTCAAAAGATTACTTAGAAAATGATGTTTAAATATGTAGTTTGTTTGGCCTGGTGGGGGGTTCCCATTAAAGGGGAACCACTGAGTGTGTCCTGTTTACCTTAAAGAGAGAAGAGAGTGTGTTGAGAGGCTCCGTCTGAAGTAGAAGCCGATAAAGACAAAGGCAAGTCGGTCAAAGTACGACACGTTTTATCACTCAGTATTAAGATAATGGTCCTCTGTGACCTCCGACCTTTAACCCAGCTGTATTAACCTCACAGGAGAGGAACAGAGCTGAAGTAGGACTAAATGGTAAATAATTGCAGAAAATGATGTGAAAGTCAACAATGAGAATGTTAACAAAAGAATGTCAGGAAATAATGTAAAAACATATCAGAAAAATGATGTAATGCGTCTGAAATTGATGTAAATAGAAGTCAGAAGATTATAGGAAAAGTCGCCCAGAACAACGTGAAAAATGACAGAAAATGATGTTAAAGAAATGTCAGAAAAATGTGAAATATGTCAGAAATAATACAGAAAATGTCAGATATGAGAATTAGTCCGAAAATTAGGTTAAAAAAAAAAAGTCACAAAAATTATGAAATACGTTTGAAATCGATGTAAAGAAAAGTTTCCCAAAGTTATGAAACATGTTAGAAATAATGCAAAAAAAACTCAGATGTAAAAATTTCAACAAATTTCATGAAAACCATCAGAAAAAGACATGTAGAAAAGTCAGAAAATAACATAATAAATCTCCGAAATGTATATTTAAAAAGCCCCTTATGAGGCTCAAGGGCTAAACCTCACATGCACATTTAAAAATAGCTTTCCCATATGGAGGGACGTAATAATATGATCAATAATCAGTCGGTGTAAACACTTCTCTCTCTATGAACACACTCCGTCTGAGAGGCTCGGACTCTTTCCAGTATTTTGGGATCTCGACATGTTGCTGATATGTGCGTTACGTAACCCCCCCGTGTCATGTGACCTCCGGTATGTTGGAGGAACATCGACACATGTTGTTCTCTGAAGGCTCTCTTAAACCTGCTCACCCCACGGAGGAAAATACTGCTAAAAAACACCATAATTTCTCCTTTTTTAATACTTTAAATTATAGGAATTAGGCAAAGTCTTTGCTCTGAGGAGTTATCTAATCTAAAAGCTGGATAATGCAAATCAATACAAGACGTGCTGTCCCCATTATATGTCGATTAATAATTAAAGGTGGGTTAGGTAAGTTTGAGAAACCGGCTCGAGATACACTTTTTGTTATATTCCATGGAATGCTCTTAACATCCCGATAGCAATGAATATCTGAAGTGCTTTGACAAAAAATCCATAAATAAATATCATCTGTGGAAGCTGTAGTACTGTAAAAAGCACGACCAATCATCTGAGCCGGCCCGGCTAAAATAACTGGATGGCCTACCTGCCTGTCAGCCTTCCATCTGTGCACAGACTTATCTCGTGCCCTCATTGGTCATGTGCGCGTTCGTGTGTGTTGGAGGAGGGGCTCTGTCAGGAAGTGGCAGATTTTCTCCGGTTGTGTATTTTCAAATTCTAGCGATCTCGAGCCGGTTTCTCAAGAATTACCTACCCCACCTTTAAGCATATAATTTACTGGCACTCGGAGTAAAATGCAAATGTTTCCGTTGTACTGTGAACCTTTGCACATTGCTCTGATGAGTTGTACATGCATGCATAATGATATAAAATACTACTAGGAAAAGATACTGAATTGTAAAAAATGATGGAAAAGTTCAGAAAATAATGTGAAAAATACAAGAAAATTATATAAAAATGCATAAAATAAACAATACAATTAAAATAATTATATGTATGCATAATAGTACCACTTTTCAAATGTAATAGAAAATTATGTAAAAATTACAAAAACAAATTAATGTCAAAAAACAGTGTGAAAATCGTAGAAAATTATGTAAAAAATGTCAGATGTTTAAAGGAGACATGTCAGTAAATAATGTGAAAAATATAAGAAAATAAAAAATCTGAATAAACAATACAATGAAAAATGTGGTCACAAATATTCTTCTGAAATTGGTGTACAAAAATGAGAAAAGTCTCCCTTAAAGAACGTGAAAATTGATAGATAATTACATAAAAAAATATGTCAGAAAAAGAATGAAATATGTCAGAAATAATCGAAAATAATTGGACAAATATTAGAAAATTATATAAAAAAATGCAAACAATAAAATAAATAATGTGGTCAGTAAGAAATTCCAAAAAAAGAACAAAAAATGTCAGTTTTTCTTTTTCATGTCAGAAATGAACTGTTGTCTTCTGTTTTTATATAACTGCCTCGCGTGTTGATCTCCGTCCTGCCCTCATCCCCTCATGCTCATCACCGATAACTAGACAAACCAAACCTAACCTCCGTCTCTGTTTCTATGTTTCCAGGCAAAGTGGGCGAGCCGGTCTACTCTCCGGGTCTCAGCGGCTCTCAGACAGCGTCTCCTGTCGCTCTGCCGAGACTCCGAAACCACAACCTGACGGTACGAAAACACACACACACAC